ATGCTGCCTTGTGGGTGGAACTCAAGGTTTTTGCTTCGCCATCGTGCTCCTCATATCTGTAGCAGCAAAGGCTCCAGGAGATAGGTGTGGACTATTACATGAACTCAGAGGAACAGAGATCAGCAGCTATTGGACTTTGTGGGGGAAACAGGCCTATTAGTTGGCAGATGCCATTCTTTGCATGGTCTCCAGGCAGCATTACCAGCCTCTTAGTGTAATATTTGGCTCCTGTTCCTGTGACATGAAGCCAAGGTCACAGATTTCATTGCTGTTTCCCCTTTCATATCTTTATTACTGCAATCCTCATACGAAAGAAAATACACTGCATTGCCACAGTGTGTTGGCCTCATCTGCTTCCACTTACTCCCATACCCCTGGTTGACACCTCTGAGTGTCATCGTCCCTCCTCTCTTTGGCTATACCCCTGGTCCTTTTCTCCTTTTGACATTCACCTACCTCATTTCAGCAGTGCTTGGTCTTCTGTCCTGCTGGCCACACCGATTTCGAAGTTTGTCAGTGAGAGCCAGCCACTGTGGTTTGGCGTGTTGGTAGCTACTCGCTCACTCCAGCTCTGTTCGAAGAGAGGGGGTTGCTGGACCCTGGGGAGCTCCAGCCATCTCTCTGGCTCAAACAGAAGACTCCACAGTGGTTATGCTCTGAAACCCAAACTGAAATGGAAATGGCAGGCAGTCTGAAGCTGGAGGTGTCAGGTTTCCTTTATTTGAAAAATTTGCATTGTTGACTTTTGGCAACCACACTCTGGCTTTTTACCAAGGGCATCTCTGCATAAGCCTCTGAATTTGCAAAATGCATATTTTTGGATTGCCACAGGAGTGTTTCATGGGCAGTTTTTTATGTTCTATATAAAGTCAGTACAGGTCTGTTAGTATTTTAGGATAATGCTCTTTGAGTTGTCAGCAGTAGCCAGGGCTTTTAGAATACTGTGCCCATGCTGATTGTTTTCTTTGGTTAGGGCACTGGGGAGGGGAAGTGATGGATTAAGTCCAGGGTGGCTCAGAGCAGCAGTACACCCCTTTCCTTGGACTTAGTATGGACACAGGTACACTCAGTCTCCGGTCAATCAGCCAGAGTCACAGGTGATACAGGTCCAGTTCCCTGAATTAGCTAGAGCACTGCTTGAATCAGTGTTGGCCAAAGCCTTGTCCTTCAGAATTGGTTTGCTGCCTTCAGACTCCTCCTGACTTGACAAGGGCTTGTGCTGTGGCAGGGATTGGAGTCAGCATGGCTCTCTCAGGCCACAGAAGACCCAGGGCCTGTGTCATCTCTTATGCCAGCCTTGGCGTCCAGCAATTCCATTTGTGGGTTTCTGCCTTTCATTTTCCCAGGGCTTACTCACTCAATAGAGAAGTGTGATCTCAAGCAGTCACATGCTGTAACATGGCAACTCTCCCTGCATGCCTGTGCAAGCACAGCTAATTCACCTCAACCATTGGAAGTCCCCTAGTTGGGGTGTTGTCTTTGAGAGCCTACAGGCTTGCTGGAAAAAAACCCAACATATGGATGAGAGGGTGACAGTTCAGAGCCATCAAGAAAGCGCATCCAAGTGATTTGATTCCTCAGAGTGGAGGAGTTGCTCCATCCCTGAATGCTAAATGACTTTTAAATTTTTATGTCTACCACATTAAACTTTCCAGACAGTCCCTGGGATGGTTTTTCTTGCAGTGAAGTGCAGATGCATCCGCTTTGGAGATTATCCTGATAGAACATGTTGGACCTTGCTACCCAATATGCAGAAGCAAAAGTACTTTTATTGGTTGGAGCTGGCTCTTTACAGTTTGAACTGTGTTTGCAGCTCTCTGCAGAGCAGATACTCAGAGTTTTGTTGTCATTTGTTGGGCATCATGGAGTTACCAAAGCACCCCGAAGAGTTGCTGTGTTTGGTAGAGCTGTGTTAAATCTATTAGACTCAAGGACCTCAGGGCTAATTTCCAGGTAATGATTGGCATGTGGTGTCCTGCTTCAAGCCCCCTGTGGTGGAGGTGTTCACAGGGGCCTTCAATACCAGAAAGAAGAGGGTATTGCAAGAGCTGGATTTCTTCAAGATGCTATGTGATACCTGTGTAGCCATCTGCTACCGATTTTCATTCCTCCTCGTTAATTTTGTTGTCTTTGTTTGTAGATTGAGGGGAAATAAGGGTTCCCAGGCAGGGTTAGGGTCCCCAGTTCCAGCTGCTTATGGCTCCCAATTTTAAAGTACCAGCAGGTATATGAAAGCCCAAAAGCTCATGTGGCTGGTCAGTGACCTTATTTAAGCTGGCACAATGTAACTGGAACAACATCCTGAACCTTTTGGATGTTTTTATCGTATTTCTGTTTCTGACAGTGCAATTTACAGGCATTCAGGTTCCAATTCTTACAGGTTTTTATGTTAGAAAATTATACTCATCCCCCATTATCTTCTACTCAAAATGTATGTACTTCAAAATACATATAATCGCTTAAATATGTAGCCTTCTGACCTGAATGGCAAAAAAGGCCAGTTACATTCGATATAAAAGTTACATTAAGTTGCAAATTCATTTTGTTTTAGTGGTCACTGGGAAATGAGAACCTGGGCATCTTTCAGAAAATAGCTGATGCAGAAATACAAAACCAAGGGTGTTTAAAATTAATTATTTAAATTGGCATGTCCTATTACATTATTTAAGCCAGAATACAAGTCTGCCTAGCACAATTTTGTTGAATCAAACAGGGATCTATCAACTGTGGATTTACCAGAATAAATTACAATTAAAACCAAATTATGATATCTGATTGAGATTGTAATATATGATATTTGTCATTTCTACAGATACTTGATTTGATGGGAACCAAACTGGTGCTTCCATTGCCAAAACCCAATCCTTGCAATTTATTTTGTGGTCTTATAAATTTTCCTTTGCTTGCTTCTTTAGTGGTATCCCAAATTATAACTCTTTTTAATGGTCAGCCTATCTTGGCTTGAATTTTCCCATGCCTGAAGTCCGCAATGCTGATTTAGCAGAACAAAAACTTTGAAGATATTTCCTTTTCTTTGTGCTGTTTATTATATCTTTTGCTTTGCGTGTAGACTGAGCTCTGAAGCTTAGGTCAACAAGAAACCACTGTTGTGGCCAGGCTGGCTCTTGGGAAGCGGCACTCAAATAGTTCCAGTTTGTAGTTCTCCTGCATCTGAGATGATTCCCACAGGTCAGGCTGGCAGCTTCTGGGGTTTGAAATCGATATAGATACCTCTCAAATAACATATCCTCTCAACTGTCTCTTCACCTACATCTGCACGCTGGTAGTGGTTACTCTAAGCTGGGTAAATGGTCCTTTAAGGAGAACTAGGATGGGTTTAGTGCTTATTTGGACTGTTTGGGTTTGAGACAGACATCAACAACTTGTCAGCTGTAACGAGAACATGAAATAATATTTTGCAATTTTTTTTTTCTTTATAAAGTTAAATCAGGTCTCTGAGAAGTTTTTGAGTTTGTTTATTCACTTCCTTAAAACTTTGGAATCCAGATCTATAAATACAGTCTGACTTAATGTTTACAATTATTATCACTCTCACTTGAATTGATTGATGCTACTTGTTAAAAAATAGAAAAGTAAAAAAAGGTATTAAGATGTGTTTAGATGTGCAGGAAAAGATTAATGTTCTTGTTGTTCAAATATGTTGCTTTTGTCCATAAGGGAAGGCCAATGTGAAAGTATGAACCTCTTACTTTTCTAAAACTAGGAGACCTGTTTGCCAGCTATTACAGAAGTAAAAGGAAAGATACTGCAACCAGACTTGAGATGTAGTTTTCCCCAAAAGTAGCAGCTATATTGCAGACTTAATAATAGCTGGGTATCGACCTTAAATAAAGAGTCGGCATTTCTTAAAAATAATCATGGCCTGATACTTATAATTCTTTTTTTTTGGGGGGGGGGGATTTTAACGTTATTTCTGCATTGCAGATTTCTAGCTGGAGTTTTGCCCTAATTGTTTTTAGAAGGTGATGTAGGCTTGCTAATCCATGTGAGTTTTCTAAAGAAATGTAAACCACTTTTCAGTTTTACCAAATTATCCCTGCAGATCTGCAGTTGAATTTAACCAAATCAAAAAACTTTTGACTTCTTGTTAAGAAATATCCTTTATTCAAACTTGAAAAAATAAGTGGGGAAAGGACTGTGTTTCCAAGTCTGTGTTTACAAATCTAAATAGATGATTTGATTTTTCTCAAATGGCCAGGATGCAGAAAATTTAGAAATTTAGTTTAATTATGTTGGAATATCATTCTGTGGCTTTAAGTGACTCAGAATGGAGTAAAACCTAGCAGATAAATTTAAAACATCATTTATTTATAAACTAGAAATGTGTCCAAATAAATTTTTGTCTGTCAGATATTTAACAGTGACAATGCAGTTTTGATTTACATTCCTTTTTGCTGAATATGGTAGCTTAACTGCATTATATAGTCTTAAAGCAAATGTTTTATATAAAACTAAACTGGGTGGTTTTAGGCAAACATTAGTTTTGCCTTGACTTACATGCAGAAATGTTTCCCACTTAAAGGAAAGTGGTTGAAGGAATCTGGATTGGGTAATTTAGGCTGAACTGTTGAAAGTGAAGTTGCTTGCTTAGGCATTGATCCAGTCAAAACTCGTGCACATCTTTAACTTTCTGCAGTCTGCATAGCCTGTGAGACCTCTACTGACATGGATAAAGTAGCAAACATGCAACATCATTCCCAGATTGGACGTATGTATCCTACCCTCACATGTGCTTGAATTAAAAGTGCATTTAAGTGTGCTTGCAAATAGAAGATCTGTGACTCCTCAGAGAGTACCTGATCTCACCAGAATGCTCAGCTGATGGTCAAAAATGAGATTTCCTTTCTTGTCTATGCTTATGCTTGGGGGGGGCAAAAAAAAAAAAAAAGGAACGTTTTGTTGCTTTTAACATGAGCTTCATTGGATTGGTTTGTCTCACTAGTGCAGTCGTGACGCAGTGTTGTGTTTTATCAGTGCCCACCCCCAGCAGAATTCTTTGCTTAAGAGGAGGCAGATTTTCACCTACTGAATAAGACTCTGGACTCGCATTGATGCTTCTCGGTGTTGTCTTGTGTACTCTCCTGTGCCGGAGTGAATTTTATGCCCGGACTGCCTGGTGTAAGTTATAGCCCTCTTTCTACCCTCTGGAAATTTGCATGTTCAGATGTGACTGTGCTGAATGATAGGATGTCTATTTTAGACTTCAACCTGTATTTACAATCAGGAGGGAAGGTTGCTGGAAGAACTTAGCTCCTTTTCTTTTGAAACAGCTTTTAAATACTGGGTGAGTTTTAAAGATTTCTCTGCATGGTTTTCTTTTGTAAAACATGTTTTTTGTAACCATGAACTCTTGTTTTCTCTGAATGAATCTTGAAAATCTGTACTGTCGAATCATATAAACTACTTGCTTATAAGAAAGACTTCATTCAGTTACTGAAGGATCAAATTGTGCTTTAATTAGAGAAAAAAATATTTATCTGCAAATGCACAGTAACTTGTTGATACTTTACCTATCTTACTTGTCTGTAGAACTGCTCTTTAGTGTCTGCTGCCTTGTCTTTTTAGTGAATGTTTTCAGCAACAAATCTCATACTAAATATTTTATATGCATTTTTGACCTTTCAGTGTTGGGAACAAAGGTTGATAGGGACTAAGAAAAGAAAGCATCCTCTGAAAGTTTTGGGAACTGACAGTGACAGTCCCTCTACAATGTTAAAGTGGATGTGAATCCTTGGAAAGCTATCAACTTCAGTCTTGTTTCCATATCAAGTAATAGTGTGAAGTATGCTTAAACACATTTTGAATGTGTTAAAATAGGAACTGATTGATACAAAACCTGCTTCAGCAGATATGATAATTGATTTTTTTAATAGTAAGTCGAGAGTGCTTTTTGTGTACTGAAGCATTAAACTTGCATAATGCTTGGCCTTGTGACAAGTCTGTGCATGTAATTTAGAGCCATATAGGGATGTTCTTAGTCTTGAACCACTTGAATTAATACCACCTTTCTTATCATGAATGTAGCATTGGTAATTTAAAGTAAGTAATTTGTGAGCCTTGTGGCCTGAGCATGAACTGGAAATGATAAAGACTATTGATATGAACGATGTTAGTAGCTTTGGTTATAAATCATGTTTGGTTTCTAAGCAGTGCTGTGTTTAGTACCAATAGACTGGAATGCTAGATCTGGCCTGAGTTTATATACAGCCTGACAGATCGGTTTTACATAAAGAACAACATACAGAAATGAGAGAGGTATGGACTAACCTCCTAGAAGCTGCTGTCTGGTAAGCATTTTAGACAGACTTTTCAGCCACTGGTAACTGGAAGTGAACCTGCCTGTCAGTATAAATTCAGTGCCACTGTTGATCATGAAACGTCTGCTGTGTTGAACACAACAGGGGAAAAGAAATTATCCTCCCTTGTCTGCATTGCCATAATGCAAAGTGGAGTAGTTGTAAGAGTTATCTTGAGAAATGCTGCACTAGCTGCTGTCTTTTGATTTTTCCTCATACTTGGACAACAACAAATCAGTTAAAAGTGGGACCTTGCAGAATCTCTGTCCTGTCCAGAGCAGAGGAAAATTTTCAGCTGCAGCGTGGGGCAACTTCTGAGAGTAGAGGAGCTGCATACAGCATGATTTATATATGGTGTGAGCTGCATACCTTTCAATGTTTCACAAGTGCAGTAGGTTTCTTCCCCAATTTTCTGCAAAGAGAAGATTAAAAGATATTTATGGGATCTCTGTTTGTTTCCTTTATGTCATACAGTTGGATTGCTGGTGGGTAACGCACTCTGATTGCTTCCCAAGACTTTGAACTTAGTCCAGAGCTTTTATTTATCCATTCATCCCTGCTGTTGGATACTTCTGCATTCTCTTTAGCAGCAATTTGTTTAGTAGACTGCCTCCCTCCCCCAAAAAAACCCCTGTCATCTTTGGTTTGCAAATTTAGTATTACTTTTTTCACTAAAATCTTGTCTAGACTCAGAAGTGTACCATGAATAGCTTCCAGAAGAGCTGTCTTAGTAAATGTCCATCTATAAACATGTCCTAAAATGATCTTGTGATTACCATGAGATCCTAACTTTTTCCTGAGGATTCACTTGTCATTGTGCATGAATCAAGGTGCTTCGTTACCTAGGTTTTTTTCTCATCTCTCCCTTAGGGAAGAAATAGCATTCTGTGTTGACAGAGTTATAACAAGCTGTTTAGTTAGCAACAAAATACAGTCCAAGGGGGGTGTCTGGATCATCTGCCAGCAAGGCAGAGGGACGTGCTTAGCATTTCCAAAAATCAAATTTTTCTCACTGAGATGCAAGTTCTGTAAGTTTCTAAGTCCTCTTAAAAAGCTTTCACTCAGACCTCCTAAGTATGGTACGCTGATTATGGATCATAAGAAAACTCTGTTAGCTAGAAGTCTTGCATTAATGCAGAATTAGCTTCTTACAACTTGAAATGTCATCTTCCTTCACATTTCCCTTCCTTCTAATAGCCATCAGAGATGCACGCTCCAGCCTCAGATCCTGCAGCTCTCCAGTCCTAACACAGTTCCTCTGCCCTGCTAATGCCCAAGTGTGAATTTGCAGCACAGCCACTGCAGAACAGGCTGGGCTGTGTCTGGAAGAGTTATCCAAAGCCTAAATAGGAAACCAAACTTTTCCACCCAGAGTCTGCTGCTGTAGCATAGTGCACCTGACTGCAGAGGGGGTATTGGTCCCACAGATAAACAGAAGGGTTTCCCATCATCTAGCAGGTCAGGTTGAATTGCATTTGCACTACATAAGGGCACATCGATGAAATATAAATGAGCACAGGAGGGAAAGAGGCTAATGACTTCTAGGTGTCACACATAGAGCAGATCATCTGCCATTCCCTACTGCATGGTGATTTTTCCATCCCATTTTCTTTTTCATCCCAATAACAACATGAAATACCACAGGCTCTTCGGTTAGATTAGGTGATGAGGGGCATAGCTCAGCGTGTCTGAGCATGCCAGATATATTTTGAGCTTTAGAAAGAAGCATGGTACAAGATTTAGTCTGTATTTAGTTCCTGGCCTACTTTGCAGGATATTTTGCATTTCTGAAAACTTTCTCAGAGATGTGCCTTTTTTTCGTTCTGTTTCTTTCTTTATAAGCATTTAAAATCTCTTACCGTTTTTTAAGTTTGAAAGTAGTAACACCTAGCCATTCAGAGGCAGCCCACATATTAGTTTATAAATGTGTGTTTATTCCTCTTTTCCTTTTGATTTTCATCTTCTTAAAAACAAGACTTGTCTGTTACTGTGCTCTGTTCCTTGTATCAATGCCATGGACATCAAGTTGAGCCTCCCAAGTTTTGGAGGAAGCTCTATTTTGAACCATCACCTTGATAAAATGACAGGAGGGGTGACTTTTACTTAAGACATCCTTTTCTCTCGAGGCCATATATCCCATTTTGCAGGGAGGGTGCTTATGTAGCTGCCTCTCTGAGCTGTTTGCCAAAAGCCCCACTGACTTTTGGATACCCTTTGGCCTTCATGAGGCATTTTAGGAGCACACATACACACACTTGAAGTCTTAATTTCTTTGGGACCATCTGGAGGATTTCTTTCCACCCTTTCCCAGGGAATCTAATAAAGGCAACCTTGTGACTTAGTGGTTTATTTTGGAAGCTTCAGGAACTTGCTGTGGCTGGAGGAGCCAGATTTAATGAACATTGTCCCATGAACTCTGTTGCGGTGGGGGAATGTCACAGTCCCCCTGCTCTTCCTTGTCCCAGAAATTGGGTCACCACAGTAAATTGGTAGGTTGATTGATAAGTACAGAAAAGACAGATCTCTATTGGGAATATGGGTGTGCTTTCATCTTGCTTGTCCAAAGGGAATGGGTCTCATATAATCACAGAGTCTGTGGATGCTTGCATGGATCTCAGTCAGCTTTGCCCATTTTCAGGAGAAGAAACTGGGGCACCGAGGCTAACTTGGCAAAGGTACTGTGTAAATCCACGCAGGGTGGAAAATTTAATCATTAATCTCCAGGATCAAGAAAGGACCCTACTCCAGAACTTCATCTCCTAGCAAAAGTCTGATATACATAGTAGAATTTTTTTGATGAATGCATTTAGTGGGGTTTTGTCTTCCTTCACGGGCAAACAAGTGCTGACTATAATTGTTTCTTCCAAATATCTTTAGCCTTTTCTGTCTCTGTCAAGTCATTTTCCACTCAATGGGCTGAGTGCTCATGAATTATAAAAAGGCAACAAGTCTTCAAACAGCAAACGTGCTTTGGTGCTTTGTTTTCTCATGTTATCTCATAGTATAAAAATCCTTATACAAATGTTTTTAGCCGTTAAGACCTTCTGAAATGTTATTTTAGAGTGTAAGGCATTCAAGGATTTATGTCTACTCCATGTCTGGAAAAGACTGGAGCAACAGTTGTTCAGCCAGTTTGGAGCCTGGAAAAAGAAACAGGGACATCTTTTCTGCTGAATATGTATAGGTGGAGAAAGCATCAATCCTTGACATCAGTTTAAGAGTTTTTTTAGGAAACACGCATAAATGTGGTATTTTCCTGTTGGTTGTTCTCAAGTATCCAGCATCTCAGGAATATGCAAAATCTCTTTTAATTTTTAATTTTGCCATTATTTCAGAGGACCCTTACTCTTCACTACCGCAGGACCTATATTGCATTTGGGTCATCAAAAGAAATTAAGCATGATCTTGAAACTCTACATGTGGGAATACTGCATGAAATTGAAGCAACTGTGAGGAAACTGAGCAAGCAGGAGGTGGGCTCAGGGCTTTTAATCTGATATCCTCTGATCTCTAGAGGTGCTTCTTAAAACGTGTGGAGTTGTCTGATGCATATTTGCATTCATTTAACCCCTTGCCACATGATGTCTGTGGTGGCTATGAAGAGAAGAGAATTAGCCCTTGGAGGAGACAGGTGGTTTGGGAAAATTTGCTTCTAGCTTTTGACCATCTTAATGTCACTGTGGGCCTTATCACTCTGTTTAACAGTCTTTTGGATGGTGAAGGTTTTATTTTTTAAATTCCCTTTCTCTTTGTCAATTTTTTGGTTTGAAAGAGCTCACTCTTTTATCAGATTAGACTAATTCAAAATACGGTCATAAATCTGAAGCTATCAAAAGAGATACTAAAAAGTATCTTTGACAATGGTTTGAATATAATAACAGTAATCGATAAGTATCTGTAGGAAAGAGCAGAGAGCTCAATGTTTTAGTTGCGCTTTTTTTATAGACTTCTCTAAACCAGTAGGCATACATGGAAATATTGAAATTACTGCGCTGTTTCAGTGACTAAAAAGCTGTAACAAAATGGTGTTCTTACTGCATGGGATGTGATAACAGCAACGGATTAATGCTCTTCAGAGTATTTTCAGTGGTGTTTCCTAGACAGACATATATATAAAATAATTTTTCAAAGGAGTGCATCCATGGCTCCATCTGATAAAATGTTGAGAGCTGTGCTGAGATCAGTGAAGCTAGGTGATATATATCAGCTGGGACTCAGGCTGTATGGTATGTCTTATATTCACTGAGTACAAAAAGCCAAGAAGAGTCCTCCTGCCAGAAAGAGGGCTTATTGCTCTGCTCAGTAAATGCAGCACAAACAAAACTCCCAAACTTTCTAAATCCTTTTAAATTGCTCAAAAGATTTTCTTGGTCAGTGATATTGCAAGAAACATATTGCTTTGGAGGTGACCTAATTTGAATCTTTTCTGAATTGCTTTATGATTAGAGCAGTCACATGCTGAGGTAGGACCCCATTAGTGGGTTTAAGTCATCTGTTTACTTCTGAAAACGCGCATTGTTATGGGCTCTGCTGAGTATTCTCTTTTTTTTTTAATTTTCTTTTCTTTTTCTTTTTTCTTTTTCTTTTTTTTTTTTCTCTGTTGCAGGACAGAACATCGCAGTTGTACCGGTTTGGGAGCAAAATATGGAATGTGTTTCACTGCTGACCGAAGGCAGCCAAATGAACAGTATTTATAGTAGTTTGAAAATCAGCAGTTAGCAGTTTCTTCACATTCTAACACTACCCAGCACTTTCCAGAGAGAACTCATTGTTTACAAGAAATCTGCTTTCCAAATCCGTTGCGGTGCCCTCCAGCCTTGACTATTAACTATTTGCAAAGGGGAAGCTAATCTACGGTTTGGGGAAAGATGGCAATGGATGAGTACCTGTGGATGGTCATTGTGGGGTTTATCATTGCTTTTATTTTAGCTTTTTCGGTTGGTGCAAATGATGTTGCAAATTCTTTCGGCACGGCTGTGGGCTCTGGTGTCGTTACTTTACGCCAGGCTTGCATTTTGGCTTCAGTTTTTGAAACCACTGGCTCAGTATTACTGGGAGCAAAAGTAGGAGAAACAATTCGGAAAGGTATCATTGATGTTAACCTGTACAACGAGTCTGTCCCACTGCTGATGGCAGGAGAAGTGAGTGCAATGGTTGGTAAGTAACACTTTCCTATTCCAAGTAACATTTGTTGTGTATTTGTCATCCTGTTTGTTGTGAACATTGTTAATTAAGTCTTCCCATCTTCTGGATCTGCACATCTGGGCTTGTATGAATACAGGGGCCTGTACTCCTATTTAAGTCTCCTATGTTTTTTAAATGCTTCTAATAATTTATATTTTTCAGTGGTTCATAACTAATAGACAAAAAGAAATGTTTTACACAATGGATCCTATCTGTGTATACTGAAAAAAATTATTTTGGAGATTTTTTTGATGGTAAATGGAAAATTGGAAAGCATAGCATTTGTGTCTGTACAGAAGATTCTACAGAAACAGCAGTTTGCAGTGAGTATGTACAAGGAGTTGTTTTGAAAAAAATTACAGAAAATCCAAACACATTTGCTTAAACTGATTGTCTAGCTGAGTGATTGCAATTAGCTGTAGACTTCACCCTTGCTCATGGCAAAACTTCACCCTTACTCATGGCAGTAAAGATAAATAATCACACATTTAAGGTCTCTTTAATTTTTCTGACCCAAACCGACAGCAGGTTACTGTACTTTAGAGTCTGTTCCCCTACTTTTGGTGGTAGTTAACTAAATCTCAGTTTAGAACAAATAGCATATTCTGAGGTAAGTAACATTAAGCCACAGTATTTACTCTTTGTTTATATGCAAGAGGCTTTGTGAGCTTTTAGAGAGCTCCCTCAAGGAGCTTTTAAAGGTCAGGAGGCAGCAGGAAGGAAACCCTTTCACTGTGGGAGAGGCAACCCAGGCAAGGGGCCAGCCCTTCCATCCCACCACCACTTTCTTAGTCTGGCAGGTTCGTGGCATCCCATGACAGGATGGCATGATTTATACAAGCATCGCAGCACCCTCTGTTTGAAAGGGATGTTCCACTTAAAAATATTCTTCCTTAAACCTACTTAAACCTGATCTAAATATTATTTCCTCCTATCCCTCTAACCTCCTCACAGTTTTTAGGCAGGACCTGCACATGAGATAGATGAATCTGTGCAGAGGTCTACTGCATGTGATTATTTTCCTGTTTCTTAGGGGAAACTTTAGCTTTTTTATTATTATTTTTTATTTTAATGGATCAAAATGGACATTGAGTGACAGTTTCTGGAGTTGCCAGAGGTGGCTTTGTGTGCTTGACTGTGGGGAGGTAGTTCCCTTAGTTCTTTGGCTGCTCCTGAACCTCCTGAAGGTTGGCCACCTTTCCTTGCCCGAGGGGAAGAGGGGTTGGTTAGTGAGAAATCACTGCTGGGACTGCAGCCACTTCCCTAGATGGTCCTTCTGGGACATTGCCACCTTAAACCGCATCGAGTGCTCTTGGGCACCCCCCATCAGTTCCTCTTTCCTGATATCTTGCAAGGTCAGCTGCAGGTTCCTGGTCTTTCCCTTGGGCTGTAGGGTGTTTTTTTATTACAGAATCACAGAATATTCTAAGTTGGAAGGGACCCACAAGGATCATCAAATCCAACTTTTTAAGTGAATGGCCCATATGGGGATCAAACCCACAACCTTCGCATTATTAGCAACATGCTCTAACCATCTGAGCTAATCTCTTCTTACTGAGATAGCTCACTGTCTGAAATGTGACTTGCACATTCTTGATACTCATGATTCCCATTGACGGAAGGGTCCTTTTTCTTTTCTGTATCTATTTCTGGCATCCTGATCCCGGCAGGGCAAAGTTTTAAGTCTCAGATACCCCCTGCAGAGGCAACTGGTCAGAAGCTCAAAGAAAACAACTTATTTGCATGCGTATTTACATAAGCCTGTGTGAACTTCATGACCAGTTGCATTCCCTTCCTCCAGTGAAGGCATTAAGAAGAAATTCCACATTTTAAATCTCAGAATTAATCACAAGTTACAAAATGCAGATTTCAATTTTTTTTCCCCTCAAATCCATTTCCAGCTCTTCTCTGGATATATGATATTTTTTCTGTGTTTTCTCTGAGCCTTCTTGGATGTTTTCTTTTCCTCTTTCTGTTTTTGCTCTGCATTTTCACCCATCCTGTTCTCTCATGCCTCATGATCATGTTTTTGCGAATGGATTTAGCTTCTGAATTTCAATGAAGCTTAAATGAGTCAACAGTCTGGGAGAGACCAAAAGTCACTGTATCCTCTTTCCAGATGTTGATGGAAGATCCTTTGATGCTTGCAGCAAACAGCAGATGGTCATTTTCAGGGCAACCTTCTCTCCTAAGAGAGAAGGATGCAGGGAACAATGGGATTAAAATTTTAAAATGTAGCATTTTGTAATAATTCATAGCATATTAAAATGTTGTTTATTAGGCAGATCAGAAGTTAGGGACTGTTGCTTTTGGGAGTAAATTGTAGTACTTCCTTAGCATTAACTAATTGTCAGGTTATTGTCAGGATTTGTCTGGGTGTTGTTGTAGTGGTCCTGGTGTGAGCAGAAGTCAGCAGCTGGTGCGACTGAGGAGATGCCACCAACAGAGAGGACATCCCAGCCAGGATTAGCAAAGCAAAGTACTAATCTAGTTTTGCAGGTGACGTGGTGTTTGATGGAGGATTATGGCTGGCACACAGCACTGGAGCCTCAGGAGAATGGATGTGGTGCCTTCAGCACCAGGGGAGCATGAAACACAGCCTGGGCCAAAAGCTGGTGCTGGCAACTCTTGGTCAGGGCAGTCTGCAGCCAGTCCTCTCTCTTTAGGGGGTATTAGAGGAAAGGGTGTGCAGCCATGGTGTCAGCAGGCATGAAGAGTCTGAATTTGGGACTCTGTGACAGGTCTAGTGAGCCTCCTGCTTCCTAGGTTAGTTTTGCAAAGGTAAAAACTGGAAACATACATTTTATGTTAAAGAGTAGTTAAAGCTTTGGTGTAGGTAGTTAAGGCACTACAAACACTGGAGGAAAGTCCTGCACTGACTTGATTTGTATTTTCTTCTGTTCCTTAATATGCTTCCTTAAACTTGTTTAGATCATGCATTGTCCTTCTCAGACCATCCACTTTTCCTCTTATTCTCATGTTTGTTTTCAATTGAGCAACCTAATCTAGTGGAAGGTGCCCCTGTCCATGGCAGAGGGGTGGAACTGGATGATCTTTAAGGTCTCTTCCAACCCAAACCATTCTGTGATTCTATGATTCTGTTGAGTTGTTTAAACACAAAAGAGTTCCATGATCCCTCTATTTCCCCACCAACAAAAAACCCCAACCCTCACTACACATTTGCAGTGCAGCTGTGACTTTGTTGTGTTTCCCTTTTTTTCAGACTGAGTATTTTGTAATTACATACCTATGGCTGGCCTATCTATTTATTTGACTCCTTACAGATGTAACCATCTGACTTCTCTTTCACCTCACTTCCACTTGCTGGTATCTAAGTTCATGTCAAAGGTATCAAAGTGTATTTATTTTTATTTTAGTACAGGGGAAAATAAGCCAAAAAATTAAAGGGCAAGAGAAGTAACAGTTGTTTTGGGATAGTACCCCAGGAGAGATCAGTTTTACAAACTGGTTGACTTCCAAATGTAGCTGCATATGATACCAGCAAATCACCATTTGCAGATGTCTCTGTTTCAAGACCTTCAAACCAGCTTCTAGCGTTGGAATTGAGGATGGAGGCTGAAATTTTGGGTAACAGCCTATGTTCAGTGACCTTGCTTTATCACCTGTGTCTGCTGCAGATCTGTTAAGAGAGGTGGCATGATCCAGAAAATTCAGGATCTCTCATGGCAGTCTGATTGCTGCCACTGGTGCCTCTTAACACATGAAGATTTAGTCTTAAGGCCATCAAGTCATAAGATGAAGAAGAGATCTTTCTAAGAATATTCTAATATTAGGTGAGGTCCACAGAATGCTCGTGTCACTGTCAAAATTATTTTGGTGTCCTGAGGTTAGTGCCACTGCAAGAGGAGTAGGAAACCTGGGTCCTTGCAAAGTGAAAGTGAGTTGAAGCATGGAGCTGCATGCTCAAGGGCTTGGTGGCCAAATGTGGTCTGATCTAACTACTGAAAGTAGTGCTTGGGGTACTTTTTTTTCTTCCCTGCACTCTTGACCACCATCCTTCCTGGACATCTGTAGGGACATAAGACATTGCATTACTTTATAGACCACTAACCACCATCTCTTAGTTATTTCCGTATGCCCAGGATATCTTTGGCTACTCCATGACTAAGACAAGACCTTTCTGCAGTTCTGAATTTCTCCAGTGCGACAGTGAACTGCAAATAAAGGCAGTTGAGAGAGTCCTTATTCCCTCCTCAGTCTGTTTTTCCTATAGAGGACTCTGAATGGCTGTGTGTCATTGAGAAGAGGCATAAAAACTCTCTACCCCACAATTTGAGTCTTTCTCTGGTAGTATCCAAATTTAGGAGCATGGGTAGTTCACTAGTGAAATGGTGAATACCTTCTCACACTGATCATGTGGAGGCTTCCAGATCCAGCTCTCAAGAATAAGGTTTTCTAAGCTTGATGCAGTCTGGGACCAGTTTGTGTATTTAATCAGACAGGCTGTAAATACTGAGAGCCTTCAAAAAAAAAAAAAGGCAGAACTGTTGTGAAGTGTAAAGAGCTGCTAGTCATAAACAGTCATAAGTAAGATGTAGCATTCAAAGCTGCTATTAAACTGTCTTAGTATCTGCTTTTAGAGACAGAACAGGAACAAAACTCTCTTTAGAAGATCTCTGTTATGCATGTGGAGTGTAGGCAGCACTTCTAAAAGAATGTGGGTATGTGGCAAAGAATTTTCTGTATTACATTATTGTTGTTGTTTATACCATATGGTTGGGTTTTTTCTAGGTTCTGCTGTTTGGCAGCTAATTGCATCATTCTTGAAACTCCCAATATCAGGGACCCATTGCATTGTAGGTGCTACGATTGGATTTTCTCTGGTGGCAATTGGCACGCAGGGTGTCCAGTGGATGCAGCTTGTCAAGATTGGTAAGTGCTGTCTCCTTTTATGTGTGACAGGATATGAAATAGTGTGTGCTGCCTGCAAAAAAACATTCCCAGAAATCTGCTTTGTGCTGATAGCAGTCCCTCGTTAACTTATTTTCCACCCCAGTTGTGTCATTCATAAGATGCACTGATGCCATGTTTATTAAGGGCTGCAGTGTGTCTGCAGTGGAGAAAGGCGTAAGACAAAAGTTGCACTTCCCCAGAGGTAAGCTGAGGACACGTTGTCCCCTCAGAGACATGCTTCAAGGTGACATTCCTCCTCTTCTAATTCTTTTTGTGGCAGCTCATACTACCCTGTTCTTGCTCTCTAACAATGTGTATGCCATCATGTGAATGCCCACAGTCATGTTTCTCCACCCACCATCTTCAGGGAGGCAAAATCTGGGCATACAGCACATGTTTAACTCACAGCCTCCCATTGCCAAGATCAGTACATCCAAGCAGGGGTGTGTGGATTTTTTTGTTATTGTTTTGGAAGCCTTGTAACCCGAGGTGCAGCCTAAAGCCTGTATTAAAAGGATTTGATTCTGAAAACATGGTAATATATTTGAACTTTAGCAATGCATATATTCTTTTTAATTCTATTGAAAGTAAAAGAGAGTTTACAGTGATAGCAGAATCAATCTGTTCACCATGCTGCAAACAATAAATCACTCTGGACGAGATTTGCAGAGTGCTGCCCTAATCCAGTTTTATTGGAATCAGTGGGAGTTATGCCACCTACTTCAGTTAAATCAGTCCTGGACATTTGCAGTGCTGGCCTGCAAAAAATTTACATGCATTATACATTACAGTTGGTGCTTCTATGGCATTTTGGAAATTGAGACTTTTCCCCTGCGAGCAGCATGGCATCCTGCTAAATGCAGTTGTTTCCACTCGCATGCAACACTTGTGGTTGTGGAGATTAGGAAATTACAGGGTTTGCTTGGTGTACTCTGATTCAAACTACAAGAGACTTTTATGATGAATTTGATTGCTAAACTTGCAAAATGATCAGGAGATGCTTTGGCTGATGTTTCTAATGGTGCCTAGCATTACTTTGACTTTAATGAATGTCAGTGGACACTGAGTTGCACCAGTTGTAAGTAAACATACAGAACATTCGTTCCAGTTGTACAAGAACTGTTTTAAATTTATTGCTCATTAACAACTTACTTAACTATTATGCAAGAATACTGTTTATTTCAAGTTTCCTTCTTTCTTTTCTTCAACACAGTTGCCTCTTGGTTTATTTCCCCACTGTTGTCTGGCTTAATGTCCGGAGTCCTCTTTGTGCTGATTAGATTCTTCATTTTAAACAAGGTAAAGAAATCTCCCTATTGTAATGAGTGCTTAGTATGAAGGTTGTATTCTAGCCTCCCATTTGAGTGCTGGCATTTCCAGAGTTAAAAGTTTGTGTCTTGCTTTTTGCACAGGAGACCAGTCATTTTTTTAATAGCCATTTGAACTGTACTTGCTTTTAGCAGTTCTGAAAGCTCAGGGTAAGTAATTAGACAAGTATTTGAGGCTTAGAAGGTGCTATGTGATAATTAATATTGTATATTCTATTTAGCAGAAGATGGTACACTGAGATTGCTTCTGTATTAGTACAAGCTTGCTGGCATTAACTTAGCCTCACAATAGCTGTTTTGACTGTTATTCAAACCAAACAGTTCTGTCTTGGAGATACTCTAATTGGCATTTTATAGTTGTGAAATTTTAAGCTTTGGTTTTCCAGCACATCAGACAGGAGATGGGCATCTGCATATTTTGTAGATTCTCAAGAAACCTGAATTAGTGGGTTTTAGGGACTTGATAACATCAGTCCATGTACCTCCAGTGCAAAAGATGCCACCCAGCATGAACTGGAAATCAGAACACTTTTATCTGCTTTTTCCATTTCTCTCACACCATTCAGCTTGCTAAAATGGGGAAGTGTAGCACATGACAATGACCTAAAATAAGGGGCACTATATTAGCAGTTATACAAGGAACTTAAATAGATGAGGGATTAATTCTTTTGCTATAAATAGCACCACCTGTAACCTCAGCTTCATCATTCTTTATTTCTGATCTAAATAAATGTCAGTGATAAAAACAGGTGATAGATTTGATCAGACTCAGCTTTGAATGAAGAAGTACTCAAGTTGCATAAACAATGAGGAAAGGTTCCACTATGGCATTCAAAACCTAGCAACTTAAGAAATTAGTCATCAAAATACATGAACTCTGGTATTAAAGCCACATATTTAAGCATTCAAGAGGCAGAAAAAGTTCAAGTTAAGGACATTGAATTTCTATTGCCATCTGTGCCATTCACAAAGTAGTAAGATCTGTAGAGCTTCTGCCATAAGCAGGAAGCGACTTGTGTTGTTTGCATGCATAAAAAAAGAGCAGCTTTCTAGCTGGCGAGTCCGTGGCCTGTTACAGGGCTTCATGCCCTTGTTGGGGGTCTGTGAATAGCAGCTGGCCCTGCAAATACAGCCCATGCTGCATCACGCTTTGGGACCGGGGCACAGCACAGGGCGGCTGCAGCCTTTTCTCAGCTCCCTTTTATAGCTCATGGCAGCAAGAAACAAAACCACATTAGCCAGCCCTCAGCTTTGCCAGGCTCTTTGCAAACACTCAGAGCCCCTCAAAAGGCCATGGCAGTCTCCTCACAAAGGCTTTGTCCGTGGCTCACATGGTGCATTTCCGCTGCACTGTCAGCTGAGCCTTTCCTTGTGAGTGCTGAGGGCACGAGGCTGCTGTGGGCAGCAGGCACGGCAGCATGCTAAACACTGTGTGCTCGCTTTATGTGTGTTACCTGTTCCATGCAGCCGGACACTTACTATTTCAGTGATTTCTGTTAGCTGGTAGAAAGTGCCAGGCTGTCTCAGTCAAAACCGAGAGGTTAGAAGTAAGGTTTAGAGATGGATGCATTGCACCGATGCTTGTAGCCTTGCCCCAAAACATCAAAGCCCTCTCCTTCTTAGCACCCTTCAGTTGTGCTGAGTGAAAGGGGTTCCTCTCTTGGAGACAAAAATGGATAAGGACACAGTTGCAGAAAGAAACCTGCCACCAGGTTGCTCAGCAGGTCTGCAGCCAACCTGAAAGTACAACCTGTCTCCCTGGTTCCCTTTAACACTGTCAAGCTACCCCAGAAGCACTGACTCGGGAGCACGTTTTCCTCATGGTGGTTCATGCTGACATTAATCCGGTGTGAAATCCAACTAATGTTTCCTTTTTCTCCTTGATTTCTATGCAGGAAGACCCCGTGCCCAACGGTCTCCGTGCACTTCCAGTGTTTTATGCTGCTACCATAGCTATTAACGTGTTTTCCATCATGTACACAGGGGCACCAGGTGAGTGAGCCATCCACAGGAGGAGGCACGGGAGGGAGGCTTCCCACAGTGCATAAGGATGCTCTGCCGGTGTGCTGTCAGGTAGCCATCAGCACATAGAGTTATCTCCTATCCTAGGAGTTAACAAGGGCAAGACTAAATCATTCACCTCCCCACATGCTTCTATTTGTGCAGTGTGTTTTTGTGACACCCTTCTGTTCACTGTGGTTAGTGGGGAAGAGTACAGCTACAAAAAAACCTCCTCTTTAAAGGAAGGGAAATTACTGAGCTGCCAGCTTTGGATTCGCGAATCTGAGTACTTGTTGAGCTCTCAGAGGTGTTCTAGATATGTGCATCAAGGAGAGAAGGTTCAGAGCAGGGCATAAGAGGGGGTAGGCTGTTTGCACTCAGTATAACGCTGTCGCTCCATTGACATCAGCAGAGTCACTGTTCTGGTAGGTCTGGCACGGAGACTGTTATTTAAATTTAGTTAACTTCCCTTTAATGATAAGAAACCCAAGCCTGTTTCTGAAGCCTGTTTCTGTATTAAATGCATCTTCTTTCTTTGGTGTTGTGTTTTCATTGCAACTCAGTAGAAGGAAATGAAGTTGAAGGACTTAATTTATATTTTTTTATATTTATATATTTTATGTGCACTTAAATGTTTGTGTTTATTCATATTTTTATTTATACTTGAATTAATATTTTTATATAATTTGAATTTATATATTTTATGTTTATATTTGTATATTTATATTCACACATTTTATGGCTATGTATTTGCATTTATATTTTTGTAGTTAACTTTACTTAAGCAGAGTACATTTAAACATGGACTTGTAGCAAAAGAGTTCAGAAAAAAAATGTTCAGTGATCTCAACTACTTTGTTGAAGACTGGTCATTAAATGTTGTCTTTAGATTAGATTATTGCCCCAGTGCCATGAACGAGCAAGCAGTTGAAGACAGACCCCTGAACGTGGCCCTTAATTCAGACAGTAGGCTTAGAAAGTGACCTTTTTTGAATGAAAATTTGTTTTCTCTAAAACCTGACACACTAGAGGTACTAGATAAATGCAGTTGGTAGACTCTACTCCATAGCATAGCATTACTGAAATTAATAAAAAGACATTCCCAATTTGAGGGTAACATAACTATTCCTTTTTCTTAAGTCTAATCGGCTATATATGCAAGATGTTTCACAGTAAATCAATTGTATAACCAATTTTTCTTCATTAGTTGTACTGCAGAAGTAGGTCAGGCACTTTGCAGTGACTCATTAAGCAAAATAAATAAAATAAGAATCTTAATGTCCCTTCTGTTTCAGCTTAGCAGTCTCTAAAGTGTGTGAATAAAAAGGTGGAACTCCCTTTTTGATACTCGGGAAATACATATTTACTCTCCAAGGCCTCTATCCTGGCTACATTTACTCCCAAGGATGAATTAATCACATAGGTTTCAAGATAGGCAATGTATATATGGGTTTGAAAGATCATAGTCCAAGCTCTTTCTTCATTAAGGGTTGGATCGCTTCATTGAACAAGTGCAAGGAGCTCTGTTGGGGGAATACTTGCAGTAACATGAGTTATTGACAGGGCTGTGCATTGCAGGACTGAAACTTCAGCTCTTGAGTGCAGCATTAAGCTAATATCCTAAGCAAATAATGGCTTAGATTAAGCTAAGCATTAGGCTTTATTGACCAGTGCAAAGGTCAGGTAAATATTTACCCTAAGGGGCAACACGGTTTAACATGCATTAATGTATAAAATCACTGCAAACCTGTCTTAGCAGCCCTGATGTGGGGGTCTTACCTTTGTCTTATTTGGAAATAAGGCCATAGTGGAGTAACAGAAAACTGGAAGACTAAACCTGCAAATGTTTCCATGTCAACTAGACCTTTAAATACTGTGGTAATGGTCATGTTAAAAGTCACCAGCTCATTCATGTTGGTTTTGAATACATTGTGAACACTGGCTTTTCTGTAATAAATCGCTCTTCCACTGGCTGGGATAATTAAGTCATGTTAATTTATGATTTTCTTAGGTTTTATTTCTTTGTCTTCACAGTACTGGGACTGATACTGCCAATGTGGGCCATTGCTCTAATATCAATTGGCGTGTCCTTAGTATTTGCTGTCTTAGTCTGGATTTTTGTGTGTCCCTGGATGAAGAGAAAAATAGAAAGTAAGTAGTTGTTTGATGAAGTGTGAGTGATGTAAAATTATGTAAAATTACATTTCAGAGGTGGAATTGCCTTTGAGAAATCAAGTCCAGTCCTTGAGAGGACCTAGTCCAGTCCCCACCCACGGGGAAGATGTGCTTAAACTATTCCTCGTGTATTTTTGTAATCTGCTTAAAAATCTGCAGTGGTAGAAATTCAAAACCTTCTTAGGCAATCCATTGCAGTGCTCACTTCTTCTAGAGTCTAAACAGAAACAGGACAATAAAACCTGGAATATAATCTGGTTAATATTTTAGTAAGGAAATGTTAAAGAGGAAAAACCTGGCAGAATGATCATCTTTAAGTGACTTCTTTAACTTTACAGTAAGTTGAGCTCATCACAGCTTTTAGCTTTATAGTCTTTTGCTTGTTTGCTTTGCTACTTTCAAGAAATGCAGTGTTTAAAATGCGGTTTCAGATTTCACTAATAGATGAACATCTTAGTGTTTTACTTCAGTTGTCTACTTTGGTGAATTTTATAGGAAAAAACAAAGATGCTCTAGAATTTTCCCACATGAACTTAGTAAAGATAAGTATTAGGAATAAATAAAGAATGTGTATGAAATGCAGCCACGTTATTGTATCCACGTTAAACTATGCAGTTGATGCAAACAGTGAAAATGTAAGTAAAAAGTGGTATAGGTTGGGTTTAAAATTATGGTACTATTATTTCCTTAGGCCGGTTAAAGAAAGATGCTGCACTGTCAAGGATATCAGATGAAAGTCTTGATAAAATTCAAGATGAAGAAACACCAGTCTTTAAAGAGCTTCCTGGTGCCAAAGCATCTGATGAGAGCACGATTCCCCTTACTGGCTCAGTAACAGAAGCTGCTGGGGCATCAGATACTATTGCAAATGGAAACCATCCACGTGTACCGTATGGTAAGAAACTAATGCAACACAGAGGGTTTGTGTTTTTCTTGTTTCAGTGAGGTTTCTTAACTGCGAGTAGGTCTCTCTTGTAAATAGTAAGTTAGCGTTTGGGATTTCCATCTCTAATCCCTTTTCAGCACATGTTTGGAAGGATGCTCATTTATAAGCGATGTTTTCTAGAGAGGACATAATTACATTTTCTTTGGCTGTATTTCAACTTTAGAAACAGCGGGAAAAAAAATTACTTGCCTCTTTGCTTTACTTTGTATCCTTAATGGTGTTTCCATCCTTTTGAGCAGTGGAAAAATACAGAGAACACAGATTACTGATGTATGAAGGTTAAATTCAGCATAAAAATGATTAACATACTACAACAGGAGATGAAAAGATTTGGACTTTAGTTGACAAACCTATGACCATTTGGACCATGTCCACTAGAAAAATCTCATGCATTGTTTTCTGAATATACATTTACAAGAAGTAGGCTTATGTGCATAAAGCTCTTTTTGTTCTCCCTTGTGGTGGGATCACCCCCCTCCACTTAGCGGTCTGCTGACTTTGATATCACTTTGCTAACATCTACACAACTCTGTAATTTGGTTAATAAATGTCTAAAATATTCAACTGTTCCTTGCAAAATCAAATAAGTCATGACGTGGAGCCCTTTGAGTGTGTGCCTCCAGTTTATAAATAGGTAAACCAAATTCTGAACGTTGCGTAGTGGAAATCCGGGAAGTCAGGAAGCAAAAACGTTTCTTCAGAAGTATTGCCTGTGATACATTTTGATGTGTGTCCTACAGCGTATGCTAACATTAAATATATGCAGTGGGAACAATTATCAGCATGTTCATAGAAATAAGATTTAGAAAATGTTGCAATAGCTGAGGAAATACTTCTGCAGAACATGAACTTTTTGCTGTTTTATAAAATTATTTTTAAATGTCTCTTAAATATAGGTGATCTTCTATTCGGTATGAAATAGCAGTAACCCACCTTTCAGAAATCCTAATTATTCCTATTCAATACCTCAGAAAAAGTAGAGTTTGCTTTACAAGAAAGAAATTTTATGGAAATTATTTTTTTCAGAGAACCTGAGCATTTAACCATCAAGTATCACGTTCTTATAGCTGATCCTAAGTGACTTGCTGCAGGTCATACAACATGTCTGGGGAGACACAACACTGGAACAAACCTCTTTTTGCACAGCATATGTGAGACTTTATTTTGCAGTGAATTGAATCTTGGCTTATTCGCTGCATGTAGTGAAAATTGGTCTCCTTTGTCCTGTATTCTCTCAGATGGCAGCCGCATTATTTTCTTGTGAAGTTGAAGGAACGGGGCTCTTGTATTGCATTTTGTATAAATAAAAATTCTGAATCTGTGCCTTTTTAGGAAGGGCATTTTCGGTGACGCACACCTCGGTGAAATCACCTGTTTCCAATGGCACCTTCAGCTTCGATGGCCATGTGAGGAGCGATGGCCACGTTTATCACACTGTGCACAAGGACTCAGGTTTATACAAAGACTTGCTCCACAAAATACACCTTGACAGGGCCAATGATGAAAGGCCCACTCCAGAAAATAACTACAAACTGTTACGACGCAACAACAGTTATACTTGTTACACTGCTGCTATTTGTGGCATGCCCGTGCATTCCTCCTTTAAGGCAGCAGATACGTCAACTCCAGAGGACAGTGAAAAGTTAGTGGGAGACACTGTTTCCTACTCCAAGAAGCGAGTCCGCTATGACAGCTACTCCAGCTATTGCAACGCAGTGGCTGAGGCAGAGATTGAGGCGGAGGAAGGTGGGGTGGAAATGAAGTTGGCCTCTGAACTTGCAGAACCTAACCGGCCCCCGGTTGATCCTGTGGAAGAGGATAAGGAAGAGAAAGACACATCTCAGGTCCATCTACTTTTCCACTTCCTCCAGATCTTAACAGCCTGCTTTGGATCCTTTGCCCATGGAGGTAATGATGTCAGGTAAGAGGATGAGATCTCTGCAGTTTTAAGGTTTAAATACTTGGAGCAAGGTTTGCCAGCTTGGCTGGTTGGAAAGCGCATTCATATCTGCAGGTAGATGATCATCAGGGCTCTGTTTTGCAAAGCATGTGGCATCGATGTCTCAGGTGCTTTCCAGGAGTTAGGCTGCCTAGTCCATGGTTCGTTTTCTTCTCAAGGGTAAAATCTTTTTTATTTACTGCTAAATAATTGTTTAGTGATTAGTTTAATTTAGGTTTAATTTTGGCAGTCTTTGAGGCATTGAGACTACCCCCAACATGCCAATCACTGTAAAAAAAACCAGGACAGTCCCACTCCTGCAGAATTTGCAGTCTGTTTGAACTGCAAAATCAGCAACCTTCAACAAGTAAGAGGTTTTAGACTACTTTTGTCATTAGATGAATTTCATCTCTTGTCACACTGAGAAAAGAGATGTGTGAAGAATGTCTTCATTTTGATTGCTGCATCCCTTACAGACTTCACTTAACTGAATCTTTTGTTTGGGGTTTTCCAGGAGTTTAGGACCATATGAGGCAGTGTATCACTAAAAAGTCTTTTTAGTGAAAGTTAAAGTTAAAAAAAAGTCTAAAGTTTAAGCATTAAAGTCCTACTGCAGTTCATAAGCTGTACATAAAACTTCTCTAGCTGCTGCAGTTCTCTTACCAAAATAAAGGGAGCTACCCCCAGTGAGCCCTGGTCATGTGTCCGTGCCCCATGCAGAGAGAGGACACAGGCTATGGCTCATCTCTTAACACTCATTTAATAAGCTTCACGTTTCCCAGCATAGTTCTGGTATGCAGTATTCCCTAACAGGAGTTTTATCCAGAGGCACTACCACCGAGTTGTCCTTGAGTTTGGAAGAAGACGGTGAGTTCATCCTTCAGTCATTTGGCTTAAGTGTGCCTGTCCTTAAATCTCACAGCATTAATGTCATTTCCCAGGAATAAAGGAAAAGCATCATCTTTCAGGAGTCTTTTTCTCCTGTTCATATTGACTCAGGCAGCTGACGATCTTGAAGTTGGTCTCAGAAAATGTTTATCTGCACTTCTTTGGCCTCCATCATCTGGTCAGATCCCTGCAAAATAGTGTCTCTTTACTCACTCATTTGCCAACCTCTTTCATTTTGAAGGTTTGGCTCTGTTTTATTCCACAAAGTACAAGACTTTTGTCTGTAGGACACAGGCTCAGGAATGAAGCATTTTATACCTTTCTTGTCTGCACTCACATTGCCCATCTGCCTATAACACTGTGGGGGTCTATTGCACCTCATCATCTCGATGGCTTGTGACTGGAGAGCAATTTGGGTGGTTTTGCTCTGTCCCTGGGAACACTGCATATTTTTCCTTAAGGATTTGGCTGGACTGCCTCTTCCCTAGGCCTGGAGTGATCCATTTGGTATTTAATAAGCACTTTTTCCAGTATCATGATAAGGTCCCCTGAGAAATTCACTCAAGCTGCTTGTTGAAGCAGCTGTCCTTATTTGGGTTGTAGCTGGGGCTGTACTGAGTCCCCTTCCCACTGAACCCTTTCTGTGTTAGCTGTGCCCTGGCACTGTTGGTTTCAGTGTTTGTAATGGGACTTTAAAGCGTTCATGATTTTCATCGCCCTCCTTAGGCATTTGGGCAAACACTGTCCAACTCAGCAAGAACAGTTATTCGTTGCTCTTGTCAGCCACCCAATTTAACTCACTGCTCATCTTGAAAACGCTTAAAAACATGTTTCTTCCCATCCAGTCAGTGTCCAGGGAATTCAAAATAGGGCTTTCTGAAGAGCCTTCTTGTACTCCCTTCGTATCCGCAGGGATTTGGCTCCAGGAAGGAGTCCAGGGTCCCCTCATCCTCTGGATCAGAGGTGCAACTTTCTTTCCTCTTGGATGGTCTCTGTTGTTAAGGACCTCTGCTCTGAGCATGCTAGCTGGCCAAGAGCAAAGACCCATGGGGGGTAGTAGCACGTGCTGAAGGGAACATAGGAATAAGGACAAACACCACTGATCTTTCTTGTAATGTACCCTGGGAAATACCATTGCAGAAAGCTCACAGGCTACCTCAGTAGGTACCCCAGCCCTGCAGGTGATGCTTATACATACTCCTGAAGGACTCATATGTTACGCAAGCAGCACTTGCCTGTTCTATAGGAGGCAGGGGTAGTAGAGTTTGGTAGAAGTGATCTGTAAGGATGCAATCAGTTCAGATATCAGATTTGGTGTTGACAGGAGCTGGCCAGGATGAAATACAAAGTTCAGACTCTGTGCAGTATGCTTTGTTGCATCTTACAGCCTAATTCCCCTAGAATTTTTTAATTTGACTGGCTTGTTACCTTGGCAATATCCTTTCCTGAAAATTCATATTTTTTTAGTATTTTTCATATCTCTGCTCCTGCAGGTGATCCTACCAAATTTGCCAGGAAACATGTGTTTTTATTAAATGCTATTTGTTCCAAAATCTCTTCTTAAGCTGAATTCATATGTTGCAAAACTAAAGAACAAGTTGGCTTCATTTTGTCAAAGCTAGTAGAAAAGCAAGAAGATGGTCATGGGTGTAGGACTGGATGGGAACCCATCCTTGTGATTGTACTGAGTTCCAGCTAAACAACAAAAATTAAAGACCCCTTTCTATGCCTAAAAGATATAGTAGGTAAAACACTCCAGGAACGCAGATATCTGTCCAGTGGACTGTGTAGCAGAGACATTTTTCCAGTCTTCGTCTAGCAGAGCAGAAGACTTCTTACTGGGCTCTTGGCTCCTCCACATGCTACATGAAGATCTGCAGAGCTTGAAAGGCAACACATTATTTTAAAAATAAGGCAGTAGAATCTAGCTAGGAGCATGGCTTTCTGTTCACACTTCTGTAAGAAAGTAAGCCCTGACAGTCCATCTTCCACTGATGACTGCTCTCTTTTCATCTCCCTCCTTTGTTTGCTTTCCTTCTGCTCATTCTAGATGCTGCTTCTCTATTTTTTTTCCTCAGCCTTGAATCCTGTTATAAAAATCCAGCTTTCCTCTGCATTTGGTTTAAAGCTCCTCACTCATATTTAGGGTGGCACCTCCACTGTCCACATCTTTTTCTTTGGACTTGTCTCCTACATTTTCTTTTGCTATCCTGGAACTTACTCTTGTGCCATGTTTTCAATTTATTTTCCATCAGGCTGTTTTTTGGTATTCCTTGAAGGGACAGGAGCAGATAAGAGGAGCAAAGAGAGAAAAATCAAAAGCTAATAGGAAACTTAAAAACTGCAGGTAATTGCGAAACAAATAATTGACCTGTTTTAGAGCATATTTGAGCATGAGGCTTACAGTTCAGATTGAACCCTGTGGGAGCTCAGAAAAACTTCATGGATCAAAAGTGCCCCATATAGTTTGGACAGCACTTTACTGGACAAAACATCATATGGACATCCCTCATTTCATTGTCCAGGATTGCCCATGGACCTGGAAGAGTTAAATCAGTATTTTGCCCTCGACTGCAGAACTAACTTGTAACTAACTCATGGGGGAGTTAGATCCCAGTTTCTTCCAAGATGGTGCTTTTTAGCATCATAAGGATACCAGCCATCTTTGCTGTAGGAGCTGATGTTTGTAGCAGTCAAGGCTCATGCTTAGGCTGACATCAGCAGGGATCCTGACTGGGGCAGCTGTGTGTTAAAAGAAACAGGGAGTCATGGCAACTCCTTATTTGGGTGACTGTTTTGTTCAGCCCATCCCCTCCTGCCCCCCTGCCACCAAGCTCATATGCGCTGTGTCAAGGGTGCTGGAGCTCTTCCAGGGCTGGGACTAGCTGAGCCGGGCCGAGAGCCTTGTGACACCATCATGCACATGGACTGAATGAAATCTAAAGAATTTAAAATCCCGACTAAATGTGTTGGGACAGAACTGCTGAAAAAAATGTTTTTGTTTAACTTAATTAGAGGCACCAAGTGAGCAGCTCCACTGGCTCAGCACCCGAGCACAAAGGGAGCACGTCAGGTCATTGCAAGGGCAATGGGAGAATAAAAAGGCCAGGATGGAAAAAAGACCTGGGCCAGGAGCGTGACACAAGGAGAACTGCCAGCTTCCTAAATGCTTGTTCAGAGCCAGCTTTCCAGAGAGGCCGGGAGGCTGGGTTTTGTTGGCCAGTGGGGATTATACGCACCTATGGTTGAGTTGGACTGAGCTTATTTTTCTAACATAGGCTAGCTCAGCAGGAATTGTGATGGCCCGGGGCTCAGCTCTGCAGACGGAGCGGCCTACCTGTATAATGACAAATAACAGGAGAGTTGCTGAAATTGTAAAGTTTATGCTGCGTTTCAAAGTCTGGAAATATTTCTGAATTAACTAGTTCTCAAGAACAAGGGCAGTTAGGCAGGCTGTTTTGGACATGGCTAGAGAGGGCTGCTAACCCCACAGCTATCTCTGGTGCTCAGCACAGTGGTGGCTGTGGCTGCTTTGTTACTGGGTTAGGAATGAGAAAGCAATGAGCAGAGTGCATCGGACCCACAGCCCCATCCTAGCAAATGGGAAGATGCTGTTGTTGACTCAGTCATTCTCTGTAGCTTGTTATTCCTTGAATAAGGATTTTTCTTGCAATCAAAGCAGGATGACCCACAGAAAGATGCTGTAGGTCAGTGTGAGGTTTGTTGATTAAAATCTGCTGTTTATGCTCTGAAAAAAGCCTCTACCTCGTGCTCCTAAACACCTGTCCCTGCATGTGTTTAGGCTTTTCTCGTACAGATTCTTTCCCCTATAAATGGGTAGCCTCTTCTGTCCCCTCCTACCCTCCCTTCTCTGCCTTGGGCCATCATTCTTGCTGTCACAGGAGAAACCCTGTGGATGTCAGAAGGAGCTGCATGCCTTGACTTGTGTGAGCAGGCATCTACCTGTGCTCATGGATTCTGGCCGTGGAGGAAGGTTGATTTATTATCGTGATGGTGGCAGGAGGCATGATGCTCCAGCTGAACAGGGTGACTGTGGCCCATGCTGCCCACCCCTTCTGTGCGTGCCAAGGTGC